TGAATCTAAGTGTGATATTTCTCAAAAAAAAAAAAAAAAAAAAAAAAAAAAGGAAGAGAAGGAAGATGAAGAGAAACAAATGCAACAAACAAGTTGAAATTTCATTGCTCTAGCCAAAATCCCAATTTTTGAAATCTCAAACTTCCATTGTCACTTGATTGTTAATTCTGGAAGTAATTCTCATTGGCGCTTTCACTATTGTTATCCTTACAAAGCTATTCTTGAAAAAGTTGCTCATTTGTGAAAATGGGATCAATTTCTTTTTTAGCGCAAAAAAAAAGGAGGATTTAAACGAGAAGAGTGAGAAAAGAAATTTGTGTTTTGGGAGTTGCTTTCAAAAAGAAAAAAGAAATGAAAGGGGCATCTTAATTGTATTCTAGGTCAAATTAGCAGTTGCTATTCATAGAAGTTAAATCATATTGTTTGTTCATATAATCCATTGTGCTTCAAAAAAATTTTCATTAATCTTACTCATGATTGTTTTAAACATCACTAAATTTGACATTAATTTCAATATCTTTGAAAGGTTCAAAAATCATCATTTTTGCATGTAAGATTTGACATTTGAAAAAATGACAAGTAGGTGCATTGAATTCTTGATGATAGTATGGGTGAATCAATGTAACACCCCTTATACTTTAGTGAATAGATTAGAAATTAAAGTCCTTTATTTTAAAGTTTTAGGGATTAAATAGATGGGATTTAGAGTTTGGGGGTTTTAAGTAGAATTTAGTAATAGTTGAAGGATGTTTAACTCAATTACTCCAATTTTGTGCCAAGTGGCACTATATCAACTAAATAAAACAATTTTGTTGGACTTAAAATAGAAGCCTCCTGAACCCACCATTCCTTTACATCTTTCTTTTTTCTTCCAGCCAAGTGTTGTGCTAAAGCTATGTAAGGATGCACTCTCTAGTTGAAATTCCTTGTAATTCTTGTTATTTGTCTCAATTTGGTGCTTTGATTTCCATAGGTAAGTATGAGTTTTCGTTATAACTTTGGATTAGAGTTTTGGGTAGATTATAGATTTACTATAATATGCTAAAAATTAGCTTAAGTTAGTAAAATTTGACTCTAGATCCTTCGTTTAAGGGACTTTTGGGTACTAAAATTTTGTTTAGAAATATTTGGGTTTTGGGTGTACACACCAATCTTGGGACATAATTTGCAAATGTGTTTTAATTTCATGATTGGTTTTAGTATGAAGATCTATTATCTATAATTTCTATTGTAGTTGTGGACTCCATGTGCTTACTTTGTGTTATGATTTTCTTATGAATTAATATGGCAAAATAATTCCATATGTTTATTTGAAATTTGGAGTGTTGTCCATGATTTTGGATGGGAAATAGTATTCTTTAGTTATATGATCATGCATTAATTACAAATGTTTGAGGAAGAAATTAATTTCAAGTCTTGTAAGTGAAATCTACAGTTAGGCATGGGATATTTAAAGTGGATTGCTTTAGAAATGCAACTGATTATGTGCAATAATAAATGAAATAATATTTCTATATTATTTTGGATGAGTCTGAATTTGTTTGACATTTGTATGTGTTTGTGGCTATGAAATAAGTGGACCTAAACTTAAAGCTTGGGGTACTCAATGGACCCTCTGGGGTATATAATGAACCTTTGCGCAATAGGGTGAGTGCCATGATTAACTTCGGTACAAGTGTTGCTAGCACACATCAGTGAACTCTATAGCATTGTATGATTTTATTTTATGCATTTTGCTTGTGACATTTCATTTGTGAGCATATGATTTTACGACTTGAGTTTAAATTAAATGTCACTGGCAATTTCTTGACATGCTCGATTGTCTAAGAACTATTCTATGATATTGAAATATTATTTATTTACTAAGATTTATAATATTATGTGGTTTGGCTTAATTGTCTATATTGCTTTTGTGTGTATAGGTCTAGGGGTCCTAGGATCCAAGTTTGTAACTTTAACTTAATACTTATTAGGCTTTTAGCTTATAATATTTCCCCTACCCCCATTTCAAATCTGTAGATTGGAGTTGTAGTCACAAGCTTGAGAGCTTTCGATACAAGTCCCATTTGCTCGTTGTACGTAGAAGCTAAGACCTCAATGCTTTTGATGTGAAAGCAAATCAATGTGTTACCAAAATGATTATTCTACTTTTGTTATTTTGAAAAGCTTTTGGAAAGCATTTGCTCTCATATTATAGGTAATTGTTTTTCCTTCTATCAAGTTTTAAATTGATTTGAGAGTAGGTTTTTTTTGTTAAGGAAACAATTTATACTAGGAGTATTTTTACTTCCGTTGCAATCTTTTTCTATAGTTCTTATTTCAAGACTCATCCAAGACTAAGGGTAGCCAAGGGAGGCATGTTATAATCTATTCCTTTTTTGCTCCTCTTACAAAAAAGTTTCTTGGCATTGGTCGAAAGTCATTGAGGTTAAACTCCAGAAGTTGAGTATTACTCTGATCATCCATTCTGTCTAATTGGGGAGGCTGACTTCCTATAAAGGTGCGTACCATGTTTAACCTCGATTGGTAAAGCAACGCCACTTCTCTATTAGTTCCCACAAACAACAACTAAATGTTTGGGTAGCTTCACGAACCTACACTATAGAAATCTTCAACTGCTTCAACACCTAAAAAACCCAAGGAAACTGACGATGTTTCCTTGGAAAAGCACTCCAATGCTCAAGTTAGCAATACGCAATATTCTAAAGAGAGAAGTTCTCAAGAGTAATTGCAGAGAGAGAAGCATAATGGAGTTATTACCTTGAACGAAGGTAGGTAGAGGTATTTATAGCCTTGTGATGATATAAGGACACACCTGTTAACACTTGGTTATACCACGTGTTGCCACTCACATGAGTACATCTAGATAAATGTGTAAGTGTGTTCACATTCAAGGTCGTCTTGGGCTTATGCCATGACTGGGCTCGCTATGCAAGTCCCAAGTTGGGTGTTGGGCCCATTCCCAACAAGTTCCCCTTGCCCTAGCCCCTTCTTCCCCTTAAAATACCTCACAAACTGAACAATTAATGTTTATTCATACCTAATAGGCTTTTCATTGGAATCAAAATCGTTAGAATTTGTCATAGGCTTTTCATTTGTTGAATTTGGATGACCGACAGGTATGGTTTTGAAGGCCTGTGACAGATTCTAATGACTTTCATTTATCTACTTAATATCATCAATTCTCTAACCAATAAAGAAAGAAAGATAGGGAAAAGAGAGTTAAAGTTAAGCACGGTTTCTTTGAAGCTTCTTGTTAAAACCTGCTCTACTGTACTTGCTTTCTTTTGTTGTGCTGTTGCACTGAAATCTTTAAATCTGCCCCCCAAATTGGGAGTAGGGACATATTTTTTTTTTAATAAAAAATAAAGATAAATTTTCTCCTCTAAATAATTAATGGAGACAAATAACCGTATTATTTAACGGTTAATATCATCACATATTAACTTTTAGTTAAAGACAGGTTTAGATGGCAAACGGTTTATTAACTTGTAATGATGTTAATCATTAAATAATAAGTCATTTATCTTGGTTAATAATTTAAAAAGATAATTTATTCCTACTTTCTTTTGAGGGGCAAATTTATCCCCATATGAGAGCAGATTTGAGAATTTGACCTGATGCTGCCATGTTCAATGCCGACCTTCTACGGATTATAGCTGTTATCATAACATTATTCGTCTAATTCTATTTTTTTTTCCCCATCCAGTTACTCTTTCCCTTTTTAATAAAGAATTGTTGCTTTAACCTTTTATATGTAAATTTAGAAAATACTTTTATATAACACTTGAATCACAATTTAGATTTTTTTTCTCTCTTTCTTACAGAAGCCCTATTAAATCATGAACTTTTAAAAAGCATGGACTCTTTCATAAAAAAAAAAAAAAGAAGAAGAAGAAGAAAAGAAATAAAAAAGAAAAGGGAAAAAAAGAGAGGCATGGACTCTTTTCAATCACAACTTGTTTCTAAGTATTTTTGTTTGGAAGTACTGAGTTCTTTGCCATTCTTGGTGACTTAATAATAAGTCTTCTGTTGAATATTGATATTCATTTAACTTTCAGAAAAAGAAGGGAGAGGCAAAAGGTAAGCTGGTGGCGGTTAATAAAATTTGTTTTTTGGTTGAGCTTGAAGCCGTCTCCTCGTCTCAGTCGTTTGACCAAAACCCAATCCAATAAATTTAATAGGTGAGCAAGCACTTGAAGAGCTAAGAGGAAAAGAATCATAAGAGTTCTTTTTGAATGGACTAGTTTAAAGAAGAGTGTGAAGAAATGAGGGCTTGAACTCCAGCCATGGAAGGTATTGCATGTCAGTTTTTGTTAACTCAACATACTGAAGTTATATTTCTTTTTGACCGTATTGCTTGATGATTTGTTTTTCCATTCTTATAATTAAAACTAAACGGTAGTGCTTATGTTTCCTAAAAAAATTGGCGGTGCCTATATGTTCCATACATAGTGTTTTAGCTACAATGATCTCTTATTAATATCACTGTCATTTTGAATTATGTACAAGGATGTGTTAAACTCTATTTTCTCAATGAATTAACTTTCGCCTTTATTCTCAATATGAAATAAAGAGCAGTTGTCATTTTTTCTTTTATACACCAACAAAAATTTGGTTAAATTGATATTCAATAAATTAAAATTTTTAATTTGAAATTAAAATCAAAAGTTCAAACTTTTGTGTTGTTATACAATTAATTGTTCAAACTACTAAATTTTTTTTTTCTTCTAGACTTTTTCTCCTAGAATAATAGACTTTTTAAATTTATTTTTTAATTAAAAATTTAGAAGCAATTTTATATTATCCTTAAAAAAATAAAAATAATTTCTATCATAAATTAAATAATTAAAGTTAAAGATAATAATAATGTTAAAATTTTAAAAAATTCATCTCTTAAAATATAAAAAACAACTACGAGTGCAATGTTTAAACAATTTTTAAATAAAAATAAAAATAAATAAGTATACAAAGGAAGTACTGACAGAAATAATCGTACCATGTACGGTTCTTATTTATCTTAACTGAAAAGATTGTATCACGGACCACAGAGTTTCTCAACTGATCTAGAGATGAGTCCACAGTTACAACCTAACCAGTAACCATCATTTTCGGAGAAAGAGAGAGCTTTTTCTTATGTATAAAATTAAATCTATGATTTGGCTGTCATACTTTTATTACAAACTTAATTGCTAGCTACTACAGAGAAAGCTAACTCTATTTTTACACGGTTATCGTATTCTTCGCATCCATAAGCAATTCCTACTCACTCAGCCTCTATCCTTCACTAGTACATCCTGGTCACGCCATACTGAACTGTCCCAACCTTTCTATGAGCAACTGTACTAGCTGTGACATCTATTCCACCATATTGAGCTTTTGCCTGCAACGAGTTTGTGTCGATGGTAATTCTATCGTTAACAGGTTCCACCTTGTTTACTCCTCCTCGTGTCATGAAAAAAGGGTTGGAGTCAATGTTGATTGCAATATCAGGTGCAAATTTGGCTGCCATGCCACATTGAGGACCTTGTTTTGCTTGTGAGGGCAACTCCCTGTCAGACTCCATTCTGGATCGATCTTGATTTCCTGCACTAGAATTGCAGTAAGAGTATGCAGGAGGAACAGCATGGGTTGGAACCATTGTGCTTCTGACGAATGTTCTTGGGTCGTAGGTATCTTTTATGATGTTTCCGTTTTCATATGGCACAACCGGACCAACAACTTTTCCCGGCTTAGCTGAATAAGAAAACATAGTTCATTTCAAGCTTGAAATGGATGTCAAAGGGATTTGTTGTGGATATAGTAAATTCAGCAGGCAACCCAAGTAGATAGAAAGCTATAGAAAAAGATGGGGCAACAAAACAACAAATACCTAATGGGATTCTTTGTGGTGCATGCAAGGTCCTCGATATGTTTATAGGAATGGCTACTCTCTCCCTAGAATTTTTGTTGTATGCTTCCTCTGTAGTTTGCCTATCTTTGAAGGAATTGATGTTTGGTTGATCTTTTGGAGGAATTGTATTGGAATGTACAACTGTTGACCTTCAAATATCGTTAAATTGCAATGTTAATCATTGAAATAAAAAGGATACCCAGTATATCATACAAAAAAAAAAAAAAAAGAAAGAAGAAAAAGAGGGAAGACATGCAAACAAACGAGGGTGTCCTTGAATTACAGTGGAAAGGAAGACAAGCAGTTTCGTATCATTAAGCCAAATCTACTGGCAGTTAAAAAGTGAAAACCAGAACAGATAAGGAAGGACAATCACCATATTAATCAGTATACAATATTAAAGGGGGGACTTCCCGATAATGACCACCATAGTTATACACAAACCTTGAGATTTAGTAAGTATTAAAATCCCATTTGCTTATGAAAGTATGTAAACTAAACATATGATTGAATGGAAAATATTATGAGTACAACTACATCATGCAAAACAATAAATATATTTACCTGGGAAGGGACGCGTGCTTTCTTTCAAGAGGAATTGTTGTATCATTTTTCCCACCATTTTCCTCAAGATGTGCAAACTGCTTCCTGAATTGGTCAATAGCACTGTGTACAAAAAATAAAATTAAAAATAGAACAAGGTTAGGTCAAAGATAATCAAAACATCCTCAAAAGAGTAGAAGAATTACAAAATCAAAATAAATAAATAAAGGGAAGAAAAGTAGAACCTAGGATAGAGAAAATTAGTCCTCTCAGTTCCATTCATGTGGTCTTTCAGCAGCTGAGGATGGTATTCCAGAATCTCTCGGAAAATTAGCTCCTTTATATCCTCCTTTGTGACCCTTCTCCTCTCAAACTCAAATTCCATCTTAGTAATCGGTTGACATGAAGGCTCTCTCTCAACTTTTGCCAGTCCCTTGAAGTAAGGATCTGCAAGTGCCTATATACAAAGGGAAGTGATTAGTTTGTGTTAAAAGCAACAAGCCAGTCTAAATCACCAAAATATCAGTAAACATTCTGAGAAACAAATAGCGCAAGAGTTGAGGACCG